CCCTCATTGTTCACTGATAACCATTTAAACCAAATACATTCCCTTTCTTTCATTAGGTAGTTTTTGTGAGAAACTGTAGTAAAAATAAATAGTAAAAAAAAAAACTACCATTGTGAAAGACAGTGTGGCAATTCCTCAAGCACCTAGAAATAGAAATTCCATTTGACCCAGCAATCCCATTACTGGGTATATATCCAAAGGATTATAAATCGTTCTACTATAAGGACACATGCACACAAATGTTCGTTGCAGCACTGTTTACAATAGCAAAGACCTGGAACCAACCGAAATGCCCACTGATGATAGACTGGACAGGGAAAATGTTGCACATATACACCATGGAATATTATGCAGCCATCAAAAATGATGAGTTTGTGTCCTTTGTAGGGACATGGATGAACCTGGAAACCATCATTCTCAGCAAACTGACACAAGAACAGAAAATCAAACACTGCATGTTTGCACTCATAGGTGGGTGTTGAACAGTGAGAACAAATGGACACAGAGAGGGGAGCACCACGCATGTGTCTGTCAGGGGGAAATAGGGGAGGTACAGTGGGGTGTAAGGAGTTGGAGAGAGAGAGCGTGAGGAGAAATGCCCGATACAGATGATGGGGAGGAAGGCAGCAGATCACACTGCCATGTGTGTACCTATGCAACAATCTTGCATGTTCTTCACATGTACCCCAAAACCTAAAATGCAATTTAAAAAATACTATTCCTACCCAAATTGACTAGTACTCATCTAGGATCTACAACAGATCCCTCTATGAGTATACTAAGGCAAAAACACAGTAAAAATAAAATTCCCGGGAATGTAAGGATACTAGCCACGCTGTAACATATATTTCAAAAAGAATCAAGTTTATTCAAAACACAGATAAGTTTGATTCTGAAAAGCAAGGCTATAAGAAAATATATGTAAAAACAATGAAACAAACTACAGCAAATCTACAGTCACATGTATATTCCACAGAGTTAATCTTCATCTGGACTAAGAAGAAATGGGACGTTAAATTTTTTTTTCAAAAAGTGATAGCACATGGGCTGTACTTAAAACTTGGTTAACAGAAGAGAGCCTTATAAATCAGCTGTGCAGACTAAGGTCTTACTATAGTAGTATCATTCAAAAGGTGCAGGTAAAAACGAAAAAACATAATTTTATATAGTTCACTATTTAAGATTCATTCTTTTAGTTTAAGTATTATACCTTTCCCACATCTTTGTTATAATAATTCTGAAAGGGGTGAAGGGGTGATGATGTCACTCATATTTTAGGAGATACTGTTGTCAATGTATTCTGAAAAATGACCAGAGGTACAGAATTTCTAAGATCAAGAGGAAGAGAAGGAGAGAGATGAAAGAAAACACAGAAGAGACAGGATTGGGGGCCTTCTACATAACTGTTCTTAAAGCCTTTCATTCTCCTAAACTTTGGACACACACACACACACACACACACTTATATGCGTGCAATTCAATGGCGTTTAAATCCTTTCATGCAGTTTTTTTTAAGTGCTTGTTTGGCCATATTAAGCCCGGTAAGCCAGTTCTGGTATAATTTTAAACTGACTTCATTACTATTTGAGCATTTCTTTGTTTTGTAAAACAAGACTTATATTTTACTTTCCAGGACTCAGATTTTGAATTAGCCATTGCTCAAGGTACCCTGGATCCTTTCACTGGAAATTGCTATAGAGAAAATGTATCTGCGTATTAGGTATGCTCATTACTAACAGGATGTCATTGCTTCTGATCCCTTTCATTGGAGAATACTAAGAAATAGATACATGCATATATTATCCATCCATGCATACAGGGATGAATAATAGATGACGATAGATAGTTGTAGACATGTAACGATTTCATATTGATACTTCCATATCACAGTGTTCTTCACTTTCTTCATTACATGTCTGTCTTTCTCTAAGTTGAAACTCTGGTAACTATCAGCATCAATATATCTAACAATATCCCCAATATTTTGACACCCATTTTATTAAAACCAAAAAAACAGACTTGAAGATTTATTTGTAGTACTTCTCTCTCATATGAAAAAAGAATACTGTGTTCAAAAGTTACTTGAGTCTTACTGGATGATTATTTTATTAATATGGCAAACAGTTTGTTTCTATTTGGGTTAAACATAATAAATGATATTTCAAAAGACCAAATTGTATTTTAAAAATACTCAAAAAGGCCTTGCTCATAGTCTCATTTCCCTCTAGTTCCCACCTATCCCTTACAAGTTAGCATTTCACTTGGTGTCTGATTTTTTACATGAAAGTAAAAACAAACACTCGTGTTCATGTTTTTTCTTCTCACACTAAATTTAATATTCACTTTTTCTAAAACTAAGCATAATGACAAAGCAACACATCTCATTTTGAAATTAGAATTACTTAAGAAATTTCAAAAATGGATTCTCACAGAGGAGTAAATTAATAACTTTCTAGAAGAAACTCTTTTGGAGGTAAGAAAATCTAAAGCTTTTATCATGAACAATAAATATAACTATAGTAAGAAAGTAAAAAAATGGATAAATTGATTTGACTCTTACTAGCATATTCAACATGTTTGGTAGTCCCTTAAACCCCAACCACTGACCAACTCTCTCTTTCTCTTCTTGCTGTCTCTCCTTCTCAACTCCTCATTCTTTTCACACCTTTCAAATTCTTTTTAATGGCTAAAGCCCACCTATGTAAGCTCAATCAGTTTCAATCATCCGTTTTGGGTAAAATATCTTCTCTCTCTTCTTTTCACAAATTATATGCACTCATCGATGTATGATCTGTGCCTTTCAGCATTTACAAATTATCTGCACATTTTCAAGGAACTTTACAATCACATTTAACATTTACCTCCCAGTTCTTAGCAGTGTTAACCTCACTTTACAGCTGTGGTAGCAGTCATTGAGCAGCTAAGTGGCTTGCCCATTCCTAAACTGTAACTCCCAGCATGCAAGTCCCCAGTGTATGGTTGAGCTCTGTGTGTCACTGCCTGAGTCTAGCCTTTATTTACTGCATCATCCTCGAGACATGTGCAACAGTCACATGAACTTTCAAGGTGTAGTTAAAATACACATTAAATTGACCTTGTACTAGCCACTGCCTAAAGCTTAACTTTCTAAAAGTTTTCCTCCTTTTGCTCTTCTATGAGAAAACTATCAACAATAATTCAAGTAAAAGTAAAATATGGAAGTAAAATGTTAAATCTAAGAAAGATATGCTCAATTGTCTTCTGAGATTTGTGCTAAGAACAAACATTAAAATATCTTCCACACTTTAGAAAAATTTGAGTGGGCCTTATAAGTAGTTTATTTAGAACACAGAAATGCAGCATTTACTCAAAGACTCATTATAGCCAAGGCTTAATCCCAATAATTCCCTGGACTCGAGAAACTGGACTTCATTTCTGAAATGTCACCCATCCCTTTCAAATCAGAGTGAAATCAGAATTAAAGTGAAGACAGCAGTATTTAATTTGTTTTCCTCATTTTTTAAACCTAATCCTGTATGCACACTTTTATCTGTTGCATATTTATATTTTCAGGCACTCTAGAAATTTCACTCTTGAGTTTTGGAAGAAGAAAAAAGCATAGTAAAAACAAACTTCTTTGACTGCATTGAGTCTTCTTTTGTGACTAACTTAATGGTTTCCATTCCCAGAAGTTCCTAATAAATTATGAAGGTGTTTCTCTTGAGTGTAATAAACAACATCTTTTACTAAGGGAGATCCTATGTTCTATATACAGACTTCAATTAAACCTCTGTGAACCTGGCTGGAAGTGACTGCTGGGATCAAGTGAGGCAAGACATGAAGTGGCAGTGTGAAGGGAGATTTTACTCTTTTCACTTCTTTGAAGGCAATATCTATCATATTCTTTATTTTATTGGCTGATGCTTTGCTGACCCAGGGTTTAAGAATGCTTCTCTGCTCACCACCGTTTTACAGAAACCCAGAAGCTGAGTTCTGCTCTGTGAACAATGAGGCCTTTGTTTGCCAAAGCAGCATAGCCCAACACTTCAGAGCTTTTTAACCTTTTTCATATTGGTGATTACATTTGCAATTCATTCCAGTAGGATTATGGAGACTTTCTCTAAATCCCTGGTAGGAAAGAAAAAACCTCTTAATTTTTCCTGAACTAGGATGACAGCCAATTTTTCCTTCCTCGATTGTGGGTTTAAAAAATGAGCCTCATGACTAGGCATTATCCTGAAAATCTCTGTGAATTAATAAACCTAATCTAGGCATGAGAGATCTGCTCCAATAAGATAGAGATGAAGCATGCAGGCAAATTCATTCAGAAACTGCAGGTAGAAGGATACTTGTATTGGAGGAGAAAAAGCAGTAAAACTTTAAAATGATTTCTACTAGGAATAATTGGTTCAAATACATAGATACATATACAACGCAGAAAGAGACAGGCAGTGATGAAGGACTTTATAGTGTTCAGGGCAGATCACTTACACGGTTTTGTAAGTTCTCTTTGAGGAAAAAAAATCACTACAAAGCTATAAGAAAGGCATGAAAGTAAACATTTGTTTGAGAAAAAAGATTCCAACAAATTAAAAAGCAAAAGCAAACTGGCAATATCACAAACACTGCAACATTCAAAAATAATGCATTGATAATATACTATGAGTTAGCTGCCTGACATCTCCACATGTTTTGGCTTCACAGCCTTTGTTTTTCCATATGTGGCAATTTTAGAGTATTTTCTGTGGGGACACAGAAAGTTAATTCAATCTAGCATAATCAAGTAAAAAAACAGTAGTTTATAGTTTAGAAAAGTTTCTTTTAGCTCCACAACTCTTTCCGAGTAATGACACATCCAAAAATTGCTGTCTAGTTGCTTATTTAGGCAACGATTCTTGCCCAAAGAAAAACTCTTGAAGGCTTCTGTGCTTTTGATTAACTAGACATGGTTTCCAGTGACTCTTAGAAAGGCTATGGGCCATGCCCTCCTTCTTTATTCTCCATGCTAATTCCATTCTTACCTTCACTGGGTTGATCCTCACAGGTCACTTCACATAGCACCTTGGTCCATTGGTCCCTCTTGTTTTTATTCGTCTTGTTGAGATCAAAGTTGCCTGATCCCAACATTGTGCCTTGAGAACCTGAGGGGCAAATGTTAATTAAGGACTGGTTAGATATGAAGATCCCCACTAGGATGATCCAGTGACACCTACTGTGGGGCAGTGCTCTGAAGCTCTGGTTTTTGTTCCCTTCACTGCCCTTAAGTCCCTGGAGTAGAGAGCATCAAAGCATTCAAAAAGGCCTGTCCAAGTGAAGGGCCCTGAAGCTTAACCTTCATTAGCTTCACAGCAAATCATCCTATACTAAACTTTCTGTTAACAATGTGAGATTTTAAATGTAGGCAAGTCTTAAAACCTTTACTTCTTTTAACCCATAGAACATTAAACATTGTACTACTGGAACTCATACCCCTTGCTGTTTGGAGGTCATTCCAATACAACACAAAATATGTTTTTTATCTGAGGCATTTTGACATAATGAACACTTGCTGGATAATTTCTTTTTGAGAGTTATCCTTATAGCTCGACTTGTAATTATCAGTGAGATTAGCAATGTGAACTGTGAGTCAAAAGTAATTTCACAAGTAAGAGGTATGTTTTTGATCTGGGACTAAAATTTCTTATAGTAAAGGGAGGGATAAAACAGTTTATCAATAATAAAGCAGAAAATAAATTACAAGGCAAACCAAAAGTCAAGTTAGCAAGAAATATGATTTCTCTGGGAGAATAACCTTCCTTTCTGCAAATGTGTGAGATTAAAAGGAAAGCAACACTCACTGTTTAGGAGCCAAGAAATTGTATTTTGTGACCTGTCTTTATGTTTCTATAGAGTATTTCTCTACCCTTCTTTATTCATCACACTGTGGTAAAATAATAAGTGATTCAATATAGAAGATTATTATTAGAAATGTGTGGTAGCTGTTCTTCAACACACTCCCCGTCTTGGTATTCACACATTTGTTCAATCCACTCCCCTTGAGTGTGGGCTGGATCTGCGACTTGCCTCTAACTGACATAATGTTACAAAGATTATCCAATATTATTGTCAAGAATGGATTATACAGGATTCTGGCCCTCATATCTTGCTAGCAAACTCTCTTCCTTGCTGTCTTTGATAAAACAAGCTGTCATTTTGTAAGGGGCTCTATGGAGAGGCACACTGGGTAAATAACTCAGAGCAGCTGTCAGGTTACAGCCAGCAAAAACAAAGTCCTCATTCTGGCAACCAGCAAAGAGCTGAATTCTGCTACCATTCATCTTACCTTGGAAATAGATTCTTCCCCTGTCTACCTTTCAGCTGACACTTCAGCCTTGACCAACACTTTGAATGCAGTTTTGTGGGAAAAACAAACAGAAAATCCAGCTAAGTAGAGCCCAAATTTCTTACCTATCAAAACTCTAAGATTATAAAGGTGTTGGTGTGTGGCTTTTGTGTGTATTTAAACTGCCAAGTTTGTGGTAGTTGATGTGGCAATAGCGGTAAGTAATAAAAAACATTACAAGCCTTTGTAATAGAAACATGTTAAGTAAAATGAAATGTTAATATTGAGTCTTATTTACTATTCTTTCAAAACCATTGTTTTGGTAAATAAATCTTCTTCTCTGAAGTTCTTGCTATGCTATTATTCTGACCCTTTTTGTCATTCCTTATACATTTCTTTATCAGCACTGTTCACAGTCTCTAGATCTGGGCATCTAATTCACCATTTTCCTCTTGGTCATCCCTGTATGATCATACTGGGCACCACTCATGTTCAACACGGGTATTCTAACTTCATTTCTGTACTCCACTAGAGTAGTCCTGTACATGGCCACCTCCTGTCAACCAGAAGCATATCAATTCAGAAGATGATATTAACATAATTAAGACTTACAATTCTAGATTCAAACAGCCCTAGTGTTTAATCCTTGCTGACATTTTCTTATTACCTGATATTTTGCAAATTATTTAAACACTTGAAACCTGTTACTCCTGACCATAACATGAGAATAAATATCTGATTAGACTCTAAATAAAATTCTATAAAAATTTAATGTATTTATGGTTTAATGCATTTGCAATGTTATTTTCTGAGTTTAATTTCTAACGGGAATATCGTCTGTGTCAATATCACTTAGCAAACTTGTTCTTCCATTCCTTTGCAACAAGTTCCCTGACTGCTCCCTGTTTTTCAGATCCATCAGCCTGCTCTTATTTTCTTGTCAATACTTGGTCAACTATTGCAACTGTGTTGTCATCAATAGTTTTAATTATCTAATGTTCTTAGCTTAATCCTAAGCCTGGTATCAGACCTCTTAAAGTTGCCTGAAAAGGTAAAACCATCCTGATTGGCACTTGTAAATATTTATGACTTTTAATCTCAGCTGAACCTTCAAAACTCTTTAATATACTCCCTCTGTTTAAAAATGCATTAGTGCCCAAAGTAGAAATAGTCTGAATACAATAAGAAAATAAAATTAAAACATAATGGTGGTCCAAAGAACATTTTCTTACACAATGAAATTTTTTCTTGAATGCTGACAGGTCATGCCCAACTATGACCCACCTTTTACCCTTCTCACAGCTTAAAGTGTTATAACAGGCAGTGATCCTGTAATGTGGGGCTACTATGACCTGGAAGACTTCTCATTTTAGAAAAGAAAATTATTGAATTTGGAAAGTGACTGTAAGAACCAGTGTGATGGAGATACTGAAAAGAAGTGGCTCTACTATGTAGACTCCTCATCACAGTCCTCATCCCACCCACTGCACTCATTTAACTGCCCAATGAACACTGGGGTTCAACAATATTTTTCTATGTTTTTCCCAGTATATGATTTTGGCTGTTCATTTCTCTTTAGAGTTTTTAAAAGTTAAATAATACAAAATGCCCCCTTCCAAAATAAAAGCATTTAATTAAAACTTTTATAAGATTTTGTCAGTATGACAAAAAATGATTTTGCCTCACACAACCATTTAGTCCTTGCCAGTCCTTAAAAGGAACATTATAAAGGTACATCTGTTTTCCCTAGGATTTTCTATTACAATATAGCTTAAACTTGATGTCAAGTTTTACTTCAAAATTTGTGTTATACAAGGTCACAAATTTCAAATTGCAACTCGGGAGAACTGAGGCCTATACAATTTGTGTGGAAACTATTTCTCTTTCTATACTTATGAGAAAAAGTATACTTTTCTATACTTTCATATTATAAACATGGATTTGAAGTGCTATGAACACTTTGCGTTTTCCCCTGTGGTTTCTGATGGTTTTGGTTTCAGGCATGATACTTTCATAAAAATACAATGTCAACTGAACAAATATTTATAAGATTGCTTGAATCCTATTGCATTCACCTAAAATGTACTTAAAAGAAAATTTAATTTTAACAAACAGATTGCTGCCTAAGACCACACGGAAGCATCAGCTGAAATGGCAGATTACAATACACATCTTGTCCCGGTGCCTGGATTCGTGCACCAGCGCCATGACTTTGACCTAGGACAGGTTATTTTTCCCTCATTCTTCTGTTTCCTTAATGCAAAATGGGTATTACAGTAACATCTCCTTTATAAAGTGCATGTTGAAATGAAATGAGCTAGTATTTTCAACGTACTTATATTCTGTGTACCTGGTACATATATATTAAGTACTATATAAATATTTGTTAAATAATTTAAGTTTTAAAATGCATTCATGCAATATTTATAACACATTCAAGAACCAAAGAAAATTAGATGGAAAATGTGATTTCCTTCTTTTAAATTCTACAGTGTCAAAATAAGTATAATTATGAAATCTCCATGTTATTCTTCTATGGAGATATGATCTTCCTCAAAAAAGAAGTAGCTATAGTTGTATCAAAAATAATTTTTAGTATCTCAGGATACCAAAACCTAAGATACAAAGATAATATTTTAATCAATGTTAATAAAAGCAAAATAATTTATACTCCTATTTAATTTTGTGTAAGCTATTAATTCTACATATAGTTAATAAGTTTGAAATTAAACTCAAACTTAGATTAAACATCACTCATACCTATTATTTTATCAAAGAATAAATTGTATTTTCCCTTGGGATTTATCAATTTCAACTTTAGTTTCCAGGGGGAATAAAGTAGAAAACAAATAACAAATAGATATAAATTATATTGGTTGGCAAAGACCACAATTACTTCTGAACCAATCTAACAGTATTAAATTATTTAAATATACTTCATTATGTTTGGAGTCAATATTAGTTTTGTTTTGTGTTACAATACTTGATTTTGATTTATGGAATTTTAGATAGGAATATATATTTTTAAATTTCATTTGCATCAGATTTTTATTTTTGTGAGTTTTATGATGTGCCAGTTAGAACCCAAAGAATAGTACTTCTTTAAAATACATAATTTGTTCACAGATCAGTATAGATTTTTTGAGCCTTGCCTATTGCATGAAGTATAACCTTATCTGTTCCTTTGTGATTATTTTGAACAACTTTTTATTTTTCAGGTTGTACTATGAAAAGGAAATGGGCTCTTTTTCTTGAAAAGTACTCCCAATCTGCTGTCTTGAAGGAAAGAAGCTGTTATTGAGATCCAGTGATAAGATCCTCTTACGTGTCATTGGGGCTTGTTCTACAGAATGTAATATTAAAGGTTAGGTTTCATTCTGCCTGAGTGGAATTTCTTAACCAGGAAAACACAGGCAAAGACAGCCTGTGGAGATTTGACATGACAACCATTCTCGTTTTATTGAAGTACAGCATGGACTGCAGATGTCCATTTATAGCTTATTTGAAAATCTTTAACATTCCTTGAAGCTTTTAAAAGTATATTTCTTAGGGGACTTTTTTTTGTTATAAAAATGGTTAGAAGCTTCTTGTAACTGCAGGTGTAACTGCACAGTATTCTGTTTTCTACTGCAGTGAAAAGTGATCAAATGCATTACAACTAAGTCTTACTGATGACCAAAAGAAAGCAGACAAATTCAAAGCCTTATGATTTGTTGATGACTACAGATATATTAGTTGAAAAAATATCATATACTTACAGAATGTATCACTTATCATTTTCATAATTACTGTGTTTAAACTTACATGAAGACTTTCCTT